GACGAGCTTCCGGGAACGAGGGTAATACAGACAAATTACAAGCCATCTCGAGAAATTAATGCCCCGAGTGTGCCGCTTAATGTAAGGAACCGGGGTATAAGGTAACTCGATTTCTCAACTTTTCTTGAGTTACTGCGGTCTCGTTCCTCCGGGAGTATAAACTGCTTCAAACTGCGCCATCGACTAATTCGTAATTAAAACGTAAGTAAGCGTGCGAACGACTTACAGTTCGCCTGGAACGTTCACCCATTACTGTGTAAATGTAATTGCTGTTAATAATTAACGATGTTAATTCGTTCATTACGAATGATCGTTCGGCTACGGATTAAAAAAAAAAGGAAAAAATAAATAATGAAATGAAATTTATTAAATATATTCATTAATATGCAATATTTGCCATTGTATTCGCAATATATTGATCGATGTACAATGTTCATTAATATATTCATCACTATATTCAATACATAATATTCATTCAATAATACATTTATCTATTTTATTCTACTTTTAGATATTTCAGACAAATATTTGTCAGATCTCAAGTTTCTTATGAGCTCATAACTAGTCTACTTGTTATGTGCATACGTGACTTAATCCCTGAATAATTACTGGTAATTACATTAATCCCTGAACGTAAAAAGTCATCTAAAATTTCATCAATATAGGATAATTTCACTCGAATCATTTCGACTGAGTGAATTCACTGGTGGATCTAATCATTTAATCTCTCGATAATGGATAATTATTGATACGCCAATTAAGTACGAATTCTGCAGAATTCCAGTCGTGCCGTGTGTTTTCGGTGATTTCCAAGTGTCGCGACAGCGGCAATTCGCGTCCACAAATACTGTCCAATTTATTTCCATCATATTCACCATTCGAGGTGTGTATGGAAACATTCGTTTCGATCGCAGCTTAACGAACTGGTTTCGTGAGAAGCGTAGCTTCAAAAAAAAAAAACTTGTTTAGGCGACACAGCGACACGAAATACAATTATTGAATTCATCACGCGGATTAATCCATTTTATGTGGATTTGGAAGTATAATCAGCGCTGAAATTCCATTTCCAATGAAACGCGTTCATCCGTCGATGTTCGACGCATCAGCGGAGCATAATGTGAAAAATGAAAAATTAAACAAAAAAAAAAAAATGATTTTGCCACGGCACGGAATTATCGTCCATTACGGTGAAACGAAATTGCAAACACATCTTTCTCGGAAAATTTTTCCGAACGATATACGCGGAGCAATCTATAAGAACTCAAACAGTTGGTATACCATGAAATAACCTGTGAAACGGTCTATTCAGCGAGAAACGATACATTAACCGCTGAAATAAAACAGAAGGTAAAGATCAAACCATGATTTTTGCACGATGCAACGATACGTTATTCGGAAGCAAGTTCGTACAATGTTCAATTTATTTACGCTTTAACAACAATGCACGGTGAAATAACCCCGCTGCAGCGTGTAAATATAAGATACGAGTGTCTGGATAATATATATAATTTGCACAACGGTGTATAAATAACTTCAAAATAACGATCAAAGCCTCTTTCGTTACATTTATTGAGCTTTCGTAACAATAATTCGACTCGTACGAATCAAAATAATTTCAGTAAAATTATCGTTGATTGCGACGCATCGATAAAACGTTAAGATAACGTCAAAAGTCACAACACTGTACAAGTTACTGCGCGTTTGGAGATTTACAGAGGGCTGATGGACGTTAGCAAACGTTCCAAAAAATAAGCAAAATAATTTTTTGTCACTTTCGGTGAGGAATCTGCGACGTCGCAGCGAATCGAGAAACGAAACAAACGATTCCACTGATCGCGTATCGCTTCAAAACATTTCAATTAAACAGATCTACCGAAGAGTGCCTCTCAATATTAACACTACACAAGGCGAGTATAATTAAAGTATAAAATTAATAATACATCATTTCCAATAGCTTAAAGTGGTATATTAAAATTACTACGTATATTTTAAAATCATATAAAATTTTACCTTGGTAATAAAGTGGAACGATACGATTTTACGAATTAAGTGAGAATTAGATACGAGATGGCGCCTGTTACGTGTGTACACGTAATGCTCGCGTGGAAATCATATGGGCTACGGCTCGTAACAGTTTTGAAGTATCATGAAATTCTGTGTAAAGTAATTCTGCAAATGGGTAACCGGAAACGCAGAGATCCGAGCACGGAAGATAACAGTTGCTGCGGTTGAGTTCGCGACATTTCGGCCAATGGGGACGTGTCGAGAAGGGCTAGTGTTACTCGCGCGTTACGCCGAACCATCGGAGTAATTGGACTAATTACCGGACGCAATTATCCGGAATTAATCGAGATAAACCGCTTAATTAGCACCGCGTTCGTTGTTCCCCCGCTGAAGTACCCGTTGTTGATTTTGAATTTCCTCGAATTACATCGAACTAGCTACCGATCGTCGTCTTGCCGGTTTTACCTCCTTGGAATCCGACGCTCCGTTTGCAAACCGATCGAAATCCAACTGAGGATGATTAGATCGCGGAGAGACATTTAAACGACGGCGTGGCGTACAATCGATCGAATTAAGATCGTTCGATTCCGAGTTGGCGCGAGACAAAACACGAGGCGAAGTAAATTTTCCAAGAAGACTTTCGTGAAATGCATTAATTAACAGAAACTCTACCACACTAACGTTATTCGCGAAATTTTAACAAGTTTGAAATTGCCAGCACGCTTGGAAAGACTGGAAAAGTTTCGCGACAGAATTTGACAAATTTGCAAATTCTACGAATTACAAGCCAGCTCATTGTCTCGTTCAATCGTGAGAAAAGACGGTTAAGATACTGTATATTAGTTTTTTCACTAAATATATAACAATATACATATAGATATATATCGTGAAATGTATTGTGTTATGAATATAATAATACAATAACTAAATATATGAGTAAACATATTTGTGAAAAAATAGTATGGTATTTCCGACAATTCGTGTCACATACGTATTACAATGTTCGTAAGTCATTTCAATATACTTTTTTACTATTTAATTTTCCTGTAATAAATTTCATTTTCAACTTACTGTAGCAACCAACATCTTCCCAAATCATTATGGACGCCTTCCATAATCGACGACTCGCAAGTTGTTGCTTCCCCTTCGTAAAATCACGATGATAGTCATCACGTTCGTCTGAATTGAACTTTCTTTTATCGATAAATACGATTCTTCGCCATTTTTTTTATTTACACGAAGATGTTCGTTCTATGCAAATTTATGCTCTTGCTTTAACCAAGGTTTTTGTTGCAATTTTCGTCGTTCCAGATGTTCACGATTCTTCAAAAGACGTCGAACATCCCTAACATAGTTGTCACAGCTCCAGCTTTTCTTGCGAATTGTCTCGTCGAGCTTGAATTTGACGCTACGCGTACTACAGCACGTTTATCTCGAGTTGTTAGACTCGGTCGTCCACGACTTCTTCCATAATGAACAGGATCTTTTAGTAAATTCATTATCACTTTACGACTTCCATCAACTGTCTTGTCCATTTTCGTCACGTTCGAATAACGTTCTTCGTTAATAACGTTCTCTCGCGATCCATCTTTCCAAACGTCGATCGCGCACTTAACCGACTGTACTTCGTACGAATGGTTACGCTTCCGATAACACCGTACGACTGAGCAGCGTAAATATTCGAACTTGTTCGATCCTGTCTGCCTCGAGGCCACGAGCAATATTTACCTTTTTGGTTTTTGCATTTCTGAGAAATTGCGTGCTTCGGTAATAATACTCGACGCACAATACACTTGGGCTGATCCATGCCCAAGGATATCGACGAGGTGATAATCCACACAGTCTCTCCATTTCACCACATACATAATATCAGAAAATATAGAGCGTGCTAGATTTTTGTCCCGGTACAACTCAAAAAGGTACAGTACAAACTCAGGTACTTGAGATGTTGTTCGTTACTTCCTTTCGCAAAATACGCGTTTGCAGTCAACAGACATTGTGACTTACAAATTTTATCAACGTTCTCGTGTCTTTCTCTCGCTGTTGGAAGATGGAAACACAGGGGAAATCAAAATCGTCGTGACTCTTGCGATTAGAAGAGCAAAAGCGAGTAATAGGTAGGTACTTTTTTCTACGACAGTTTCCGAGCGTCGGCCAGATTGCAAGCATAAATGTTTAAAGAGTAAAGGGAGCATTTCGCGCACGTGCGTATAGGGTAGGACGTGCCGTTATCGCGTTCCTTTATGGCGTTCAGAACGTTGTTTCCACCCCCAGCAGTAAATAAATCCGGCCGAGGAGGGCGGCCTGTCTCGCTTCCCGCGATATCTGTCTAGCATACGAACAAACGACAAAACGATAAATTCAGGGAAACTGTCGATTCGTACAGGATCGTCGTGTCGGGCCGTCATTCCTGGAAACGCGTAAATCTTAATTGGCCGATCGAAACCAAGTGGCTGTACAGTTAACCAACAACCACCGGAAAACTCCGCTGGGTGAATTTGTTTCTATCTGAACGACGAGGCTAACTAAGCACCAATGAAATTCAGTGACCACTTTGCTCGTTCCATTTACCCGTGGTGTTGTCACGTCTAACTCTTTTGAGTAACGATTTTCTAAACAATAAATAAATTGATGAATATTCGTGCACGTTTGTAATAAAATTGTTAATCGATATAGCATACGTTTTTATTTAAACGTCGATGTTACATTTATATAAATCATGTTGCATTCATACACCGATGAATAAACGACGCAAGACTACCGAAATACATTCCTACTTACATTCGAATCACGATAATACAATTTGAAAAAGAACATTGGTGGCAAAGTACAGTTTTGTTCGAAAAACAGTACTCGATGAATAATGGTAGAACATGGGAAACGTTTCCAGGAGAACCAAAAACATTTGCGTACGATATTTGCAAAACAGGTGCGGTTTTTTAGTAAAATGCATTTCAATTCCGCTGTTTTACATCGCGCTGGAAAAAATTCCGAACGTGCTGTTCCCTATCAGAGCCAGAGAAAATGAATGCTTCGTTTACAACTTTTCCCGTTTCGCCGGGAAAGAGGAAAATATTTGGAAATGCATTGAAAATGGAGAGCCTGGCGGAGTTCGGTGAGAATGAAATATCACTCTAAATTATTTCTCCCTTTTAAATAGAAAAACCAGGAAAATTATCTGTAAGGAAGGAATTTCTCTTCAGACTAGCAATTTTCTTCTAAACTACTGGATTATACCATAACACCGCGTCCCATCGTCTACCATTATGTTCAAGGCCGGTTCCATTAACCTTGCGCAACTTTCCAAGCAACCTCGTTAAAAAATCATGCCACGCGGGACCACCGCGCGGCCAGAATAATGAAGACACCGTGCTAATGGAATCCACGGCCCGGCATGATTAACGTCGCGAATGATATCGATGAGTTGGAACTGATCGTGGCGTTTTTCAATTATTGTTGCAGAGCAACAGGAGCCAGCCAGCCATCGGACTGAAGCAAACGCCGAAGGCGCGGGTAAGTTTTTCCACTGGAAGCGGATGGTGTGTTGCTTTTTGCCGCGTGCGAGTGAAATTCAAATAGGGCTGTCGGTGGCAACGATCTCTGGAGGGGGAGTTCGAACTAGTTAGCCGGAGCTCGTTAGAAGTCCGATTGATGCCCACCGACCGAGTTCCCCGTACTTTCGGCCAAACAACTTTTCCAACCCCTTCCACCCCTTCCACCCCTTCCCCCTTCTACTTCTTCGGCCTCCTCGAGGGAAGTTGAAATAGGCGGGCCAACCCCTTTTCCATCTCTCTCCCTTCCTCTCTCTTTCTTTCTCGCTACCTCTCGTCCTCTCCGTCTTCTGTTCAAACTGCACGCATGTATATCTTCGCGGCGCAGCGAACCACGAAATCGGCCGGGATAGAGCGCGGCACACGCTATAATTTTACGACTCTAGTTCTCGACGATCCTCGAGACGACGCTTCAGCTCACTCGCGCGAACGAGTAGAGTTTGTTTGTTATTTACGAGCGTGGAATTGCAGACGTGTCGCGGATTGAGATCCCGATTAATACGTACATACGTATTTTTGGGAACACGTAATGAGGGACGCGAACAAGTAGCAACTAGCAGCAAGTGGAGAGATTTTCTGCAGTGTCGGTTTTATAGAGGATGTTCAAAAAGGCTGAGGACTAATCTTAGACTATGTGTTACTGAGGTCAAATAGATGGAAAAAAATTCATATAAACTTATGTCCGGAAATGCTTTATTGAAAAGATATAGCGTTCAAAGATTTATGGACAAAATTCGTCTTACAATTCGTTGTACAGAATCGTACACGTTATTACAAATTATTATTATTATTATTATACGTATTATCCTAGGTCACTTGGCCTAACGCCTCTCGATTTCTATTTATGGGGTCATGCGAAAGAGTTGGTTTATAAAAATACGATAGAGACAGAAGATCAATTTTGGGAATGTATTGAAAATGTACAGATGGAATATTTGAAAGAGTTCGACATGAGTCACTAATTTTACAAATGGAAGCCTGCATTCTTGCAGAAGGAGAAATTTTCGAACATTTCTTATAACTGTCGCAATAAATCATAAATATCTTGAAAAACTTATTATATTATAAACTTATTAACTTATATCTTTTCAATAAAGCATTTTCGAACATAAATTTATATGAATTTTTTTTCATCTATTTGACGTCGATAACACGTAGTCTAAGTTTAGTTTCAATTTTTTTGGACACAAGGTCAATCACGCGATTAGGAAGATTTTGGGGGGTGATTTTCGACCAAGATGTGTCGTTGGTGAAGGTCAGTTTCAACGTCTAACAATACTGATCCAAGAATGTGTCCCTCGCATTACGTTTATTCTTTTTTTTTTATACTTTTCTTCGTCGAATTCGTGACACTTGCAAATGCATTCCTGATATAACGGATGATACGAATTCGTTGTGAATTGTAACGTAATTGAGCGATTTTCTAACAAACTGTGATCTGTGATTTGCAACGTCCATTGAGATGTATCATAGAAACTTTTGGATCGACGTATCTATTCTGAATCTTTGAAGGTTCGCGAATGTTACTTGAACTTCTAGTTGGCATTCGAGAAAACGCACACGAACAAACAAACTCTCAAAATGACGTGCTCTAACTTGGTGCACGTGACATGAGCGCTCGGTTTTAATCCCCACTGGGCCTACTTTATTTCACCAGACGGACAGGGACAGAGTGGAACAAAGGGGCAAAGGTTGGATACTTCTGTAGGTGGAGAAATCACCGGGAAAACAAACGAGACGTTCGGACGGAAACGACTAGATAATCTGTTCGTTACAACACGCGAGACGTTAATACATCGGGGATAAGTAATTAATTTCACGGTTATTTCGAATTGATCGATTATCAAGCTCGTCGAAAAAAAATACGTTCCTTGAACACAAGGAGCCATTAATTACAGAATTTCGTACGAACCTTCTTCTCGCGACATATTTTTTTTTTTAATCGTAGATAAATTTTTCTCGATCGGATGGTTTCATTTAATCTCCTTTGATGTTACAATCTTTCGTGTTTGCACGTTCTTTTTTCTTTTTTTTTTTTTTTTTTTTTTTTTTTTTTTTTTTTTTTTTTTTTTTTTTCTTGGTGCGCGACAAAATTATTTTTCTTTTTTTTCTTTACTGCTTGTCACTTTTCGCACTCATCTTTTTTTAATCTTTTGTCTCCCGCGCAAAAAGCTTTGGCCGTATCATGCCGAAGCGATACACACATGGATGGATCGATCACTTTTGGCCACCGTGAATTTCAATAACTATTTGAGGAACGCCACGTCGAAAAATTATTGCATCGAGAAGAATCGATAAATCGAATCCTTTATTGCATTCTGGCATTTGTATATTACATGGTTATTGATACTCTGTGTCGTAGCGAGAACCGCGGAAAAATTGATGCCACGTAACAAGAACCACCGCGATCAGATTGCTTGGTCTTCGACCGTCCAAGAAGCATAAATTCCAATTCGATGACAAAATTGCTGGGACGGCATGTACGTATTTGGCGAATATACCGGGCAAAAATCGATGGCCCTATCGAGGCTAACGCATTCAACCTTCCGATGGAAAAATTTCCCTCGCGTTTAGCTTAAGCGGCTGCAAAATTACTCTCTAATATCTTTCCTATCTCATCAAATATTCCTTTCGAACATTTCAAGATTGAAATGTAAGCAGTCTCTTCCATACGTACATACGAAAGAAAAATCAGTCCTTAAAATTATGCCTACCGAAGGAATCGAAATTGATTGGAAATTTTACCCCCGATTACTATTAACAGATGGTAAAAGCTGCGCTTTGAATGAAATCAAATTACAAATAATGGTCTCAATTTTATCAATCATTCATCCAATTTATTCTCGATCAACACAATGATTGATGTCATCGTGGAACTTTGTTCCTCAATTTTTATCTCGCTCATCGATTCTATATCGTTTGTCCGCGCGCGATCGAACCAAGACGCAGGCAATTCATTCTTCATCAATTAAAGTTGGCAAGGTTCGAATGATATTATTCGATCGTTATCTCGTTCGGTGTGTTTCTATGGTCGTGGTGCGAGCGAAGAGACGGGGGAAACTCGGGCGACGAGGAACGTCTGCGAAACGACGTGAAATCGCGCGGTCCAATTTCGCGAGATTGCTTGCCGAGGCAACTCGTCCGCAGGACCATCCTCGTGGAAAACAGCTTCTCCGAGGCACGACGGTGCTCGTATTTTGTCCCTACCCCGTCCCCTTTTTCGTCAAAACGGAAACGCGATCTTCCTTTCCCAGGAAGAGAGCGAACGCGCAGCCAGTTCTGCGATAGTCAGATGCAATCTGGACCGTCGCTATGCATTACCTTTAACACGTTCCGTTAACAGGAGCCGATTTTTGATTACTTTCCGTTTAGGTCGCTATTACACGATTAATAGTTTTGCTCCTGAAGTGTGTCTTGTAATTTTTGCAACAGTCCGAAAATTATAATTATTAAGAAAAGTGTCTAAATGCATAGACAGAATAGAGCAATAAATTTAATTTTAAAACAATTTTTTAACGACGTCAAAATTAATTTTGAAATGAAACATTTTGTTCCAGATTGTTTTTCGTATTATTTATCTATCTGTACTAAATAATAATAAATAATATTAAATGATGAAAATTTATATACTACACTCGGAATACTTGTTATATAAATTATATAATACTATGCAATAAACAACTGAATACTAATAGATAATATTTATTTTGACGTTATTTCAACTTTCTAACGTTATTTTGACAACAAATTTTAAACCGAATCAAGTTGATCTTAACAGACGGTCGGAAAAAAATGATCGTCACGCCCTACGATAAATGCGATATACATGTTATTAAGATGTCGATACATGACATTGTAACAAATTTTTAAAAAAACTCATCGTTTTACAATGAAAATTCCAAATGGTTCGAACAGAAAGTTCACTATGGGGTGTTCACGCGGTTAACACGCTTTTCTTTTCGAACCGCACTAGATCCAGACCCGTACTGCATTTAACGCGTGAAATATTTTCGTAGAAGCAACGGAACGTTGAACGTTTCGTTACAAGTGCCGCTGTAGAGTCTTATTTGTCTTTTTCATCTATTGTACTTAAAAAACCTCGTAATTATTTCAGACAATTTACAAAATTTTTCTCTACCGTGGAAATTTGCAGACATTTTTCTCTCTAGTGACGCCGTTGGGTGTTGTTTCCCACTCACGGGGCGAAACATGCATGTCCTGTGACGCGAGCCAGGATTTTACACCTCGTTGCACTTTACTACGTCTAAAGCAGGTCGTTGAACGTGGAACCGCCTGTGAATGATAACTACCGTGAACTCTGCTAATTTAACTAACCGATGAGGTGAGATTGTGCCTCGGAGGCAATGCTAACATTCGTCAAAGTGCACACAACGCGAGCAGTAGGCGTCTATACTCTCTCTTTCTCTCTCTATCACGATTAACTATACGAATTTCTGATATCTATTTATATGCTTAATAACCTTTATCGACTGCACCTTACGATCGAAATTTCTATCTTGTCATTTTTCCCGTTGTTGCTCGCATTTTGCTGTTCCGTACGGCCAATTGAAATTCTACGACTCACGTGAAAATTCAGTTTTCAGTCGAGAAATTATCGCGCTGGTGCATGGTCGAGGCGTCTGCACGAAGCAATTTGCTACTATTTTCTTGAAAAATAATTCCAAATATGTGCCCACGCGCGACGCGCGATATCAGTTTTATTTCGTTAAAGAGAAGCCTCGAATATGAGATATAATTTTACTGTTGAAAATTCATACGAAGCTCGGAAAAAAAAACTTTTTCGCATTCAAATTTTATCCCGAACTAATTTAACTTGGGTGAAATTTTCCGCGCTTTTCATCATGTACAGATCCGGGAAAAAGGTGAAAGATACCCATCAAATGCATAATCGATCCGTTTGATCAGTTGTCGATCAGAGTCGTAACATGATTCCTTGTTTAAATCCTGTTTACATTCCGATGCAAAGTAACCGATATGTCTACTTTCAATTTTACAATCATTGCCACAAAATCACATTTTTTCCTCGCGCTTGTGAGACGATTCCAAAATCATTCCATCAACTTCATTCGTTAATTACGCCAATACAAGGACGCTTTCGTTCAACCTAGACTGTTCCCGTTTTCATTTACTACAATCTTGTTGACCTAACCTAATTCTTATTTGTTTAATTTTTCAGACTCCCCATAACCGCACATATGCATCTGTCCACTGTGATTACGCCAGTCAGAAAAGTGAAATCCTTTCATCTTGCACGTTGCATCAGAGAGCAAATTGGCTTTGAAAAGCAGTTCGTTGTTTTCTCCCCCCGAACAACAACAACGGTAGTTCACGACGTGCGCGCACAGAGAATTTTATTGAACCGTTAACTTTTCGATAGTATTCCTCGCTTTCCTGCCGCATTATGGCACTAGACAATACATCGCGCGCGTGAATGCATTGACAAAATACAGATGAATTGCACGGTAAACCGTCGGTAGAATACATAATCCGAATAAATACGTGGATACGCGTTCAAAGGGAGGGGGGGGGGGGGGGCAGGGAGATAAAAGGGAGAAAAATATCCTGTAATAATAGGAACAATGTAATGTTTGATCAGTGTTTAACTAAATAACTAAAGGCACCCGGCGAATGGAAAACCGCGCACAATGGGAAAAAAACTCGCCGGCAATTCCGCGGCGTCGATCAACAGGCTTTTCGAAATCGAATCGACGAGCGCACCGAACATAATTTGATTTCTTTCTGCTATCGCGGGCTAAAAAAGCGCGCGTGCCTATTGAGGTGGAATAATGATCGGCCGGATTTCAACGGGATATTCGAAGAAGACGGGAAATATCGAAGTAACAAAGAGCGAAGAGTTACTGTCGGAAATTTTTATTGTGGAGCACACATTTTTCTCGCGTGCCAATTAGCGAATTTTCTGCGAGCGTTGCGAAACGTGCCGTTTTTTTATTTTTTTATTTTTTTATTTTTTCAACCGCGATGGTTAATTTTCTGGCAAGAGGGGAAAGAAAGGGAAAAGGAGTGATCGAGGGGAGGTCGTTTTCACGCTATAACCACTGGAATTATTATAATCCGTTTAACAAACAATGCGAAAGGCGATCTACAAACATTACAATTCGAATTTGACCGGCGATGAATTTATTCATGAGGCTCGAAACATTTTCGCTTGAGCGTTGTCAGCGAGCCCGTCATAAGAGTTATTTCCGGCGTCCCTGGAATTCATGGTATTTTTTAGAGAAATTCACTATCCGTCAGACAAATGAAAATTATTAGAAAATTCAGCATTTTCGGGGGCGGTGATATCGGCGGTTCTTGATAGAATGTTCATAAGCCTCTGGAAACGCGAAGTTCACAGCGTTCGAGGAATCTTTGAAATTATAAATTCGCGCGTCCTTGATTCCAACTGATTGAATTTAATTGCGCAACGTCGTAATGCGCAAGGACATTTCGCCGAGACAGTAATTACTTTTGCGGAACAAAATTTGATAAAAAAATAAAAAGAAAATAAAGTGAATAAAAGAGGAAACAGAAAGTAACGTTCAAGAGTGAAACTGAACTGTGACGATATCTAAAATCTATTTGATATAATATCGAGTCGTTGCTTGAAATTTCGCGAAGCAAATTATGTAATTATCCAAACTGTCCATAAATCGCAGAGTAAGCCGCCGATAGTACATACGAACGATCGAATAACGATTTTGATACGGCAGAGACGAGCCCTCATTCCCGTACGATAATTGGATGAAGATTTTATGCAGGATACTGCATTATGGCTGCGTCGAGGAACGAATGAACCGTGACGCTGCGAAAGTTTTGATGGGATCTCTCGTGACGAAGATTGAGCAGACGAGGGAGGCTTTTCGGCAACTTTGCGGATACGCGGATGGTATATACGTGTTTCAGGGAATATCTTGTCATGCGTTTTTTATGTAAAGCACCTCTTGACGGAGAGTAGACTCTTCGGGAGGAAATGATATGCTGATTTGTGGGAAATGTTGGTTGTTTGTACGTCACGAGTAGATGAAACGGAGAAAAGAATAATGGTGAAAGTCTTTGGCAAATGTGTGTAAAGTTCAGGTAGTTCGTAGCTGAGATAAATAATACAATTCCAATTACTAGCCAAAACATCGTCGCGTGACATCATCATTTCGACAAATTTTGGAAATTTCTTTCAATATTGTTCGAGAAATCAGAAATCTCACAAACAGAAACAGCACAAGCAGGTAATTAAACTTTAATTGAACTCTTTGAGCTGCAGCGGCGCAAGCTGGCGTTCTAACTGAAAAGAATCAGGGTAATCATTCGCTCAGCTGCGTTCAACTTGCTGCGTTCAACTTGCAAGTTGAGATTGATTCAGCCAATAAACGTTGCAGGCTGAAAGGTGCAGTGGGTGTTTCATAAGTTTCGAAATTTCCTCACGGCGGAAGTAGCTTCGCCGCAGCAGCGCTCCGATCTTCGCAAACAAGCATAATCTCAGGCTGCTTTGACCAGACTATATACTGCTATAAGCGATTATAAACCGACGACCGGGGAATAAGCGCGACGTATTTTCCGCGAGAACGTGCCCGTTGGTGATCGTTCGACTGACGATAAAAGGCGAAATTTAACTACGCCACGGTGGACTGAAAATGAAAAGAGAAAGTCGTGAGCACGTGACCCTCAAAGAGGAGAGCCACGTTCCCTTACGGTTTAAAAGCCATGCATCCGAGACAGAGGAGAAACGAAAGGAAGAAACGCGCGGGTGAAGCAAGTAGAATGACCCTTGTTTCGCGACGCCGGGAAATTCGAAGTCGCTCGCTCGGGAACGACGAAATTGAAATCTTCCTTTGTCAACCTCGTTTCCGATCAAAGAGCCTTCGAGTTGAAATCATTTAGCAAATGCGAAGAGAAAATAGCTGGGGAAAATGAGACGGTCCCCGCGAAATTGTTTTGCCAAGGCATCTCAGCGGAATGAAATAAACTCGGAGTTCGAACAGTTTGTATATTTGAAATGTAAAATATAATTTTTCAATAGTGTATCTCGAACGTTCAGTGTGCGCGTGAAAGTTTCTGTACGATACGTATCACAGTTGAGTACATAGTTTGATAATAAACATGTGTTTGATAAGAACGTGGACGTTATTTCTCTGAAAAAAAATATTCTTTTTGTAAAACATTTTGCACAGATTGAAAGTACTACATACACTTAAAATACTATTACGCATTGAATTAACAGCGTATTCAATCTTCATCACTAGAGATGCGTTTTTCATTAAACTATCTTTTCAGTTTCTCGAATATATATTTCTCGAATTCGACGACTTGGGCCTTTCCGTTGTTGAGACACGTGTCCTTCTCAATCTATGCTTTGTGACTGACTAAACATTTTCAATTGGATTAGCATCGAGAGACTGAGATGATACCAAACACGCTGATACCATTCTCCACTGCGTCCAAAGACTGTTTACTTCATTAAATCAGTGTATCGCAAACTTTGAAAATCCTCTTACGTACAATTTGATCGTCATTTGAGCGCCTGGATTGTTTGTAAAGACGCATAGAATCTAAAATCCCAAACATGCACGTTCATTGGATGTGTGAACAAAGTTCTCTGAACAAAAGCTCGTTTGAAAATGTTTGGTCAAAAGGTTGGTAGAAAACACGTCTCGTCACGTCCAGTTAATAATCGTTAGTGATGGAGATTGGACATATTAATAATTCAACTAATAATAGCATTTCAAGTGTACTTTCGGTCTGTGCAAAATTTTTTTACAAAAAAAAAAGAGAGTAACTATTCTCGGAGAAACGGCGTCCAACGTTCTTATTAAACACACTGTGTGAGTCATCAAAGGACTATGTCCAACGTTACCATATTTCGCCTCGTCTATTCTCGTCGGCGTAATGAATTGGTCTGCTGCTAATTACAATTACAAATAGCCGTACGACCTTCCCGTTACGACGCGACATGAGCGTTCCATGGCGCGGCTTTCCTCGTCTCCCATGCGAAACTGCACCACGTGTATTTCCGTCTTTATCCTTTAAAGGACGCGACGTCGCGCCGGCTTTCTACTCGCTGTATATACCTAGCCCCTTACACGTATCTACATCGAGTTGCACTCATAGATATGCAAATCCTTGGTTAACGGAGGCTACAAGCCGACCTGGCTTCCGAACTAAACGAGTATCTAGCCGAACCTCGAAATTACGCGTCTATTGGTTCTACGCCCCCTATGCGATTAATGCAAAGACGCCGACGTAACATTTCGCGCAATAACATTCGTCGATGATTTACAAGGGAGATCGACAGGAAGATTTAAAAGGACAAAATACAAACAGAATAGGGATACAGGAAACTATGCAGCTGCTATGGTTATTTTTGCCCGGTAATTTAATATTGGTAATAAAATTGCAATTGTTTCAGACGGACAATTGGATGTCAGAAAGTTCCGCCGGGATCGAATTAGATTTGGAGAATACAGAGCGTCGACCGAGATCTGTTAATACGCGAAACAATGTGAAACAGCGACAAACGGAGGTACCACGTTGCGGAACGAACGTTGACCGGTAAAGGACACAGTCCCCATAAATCGCGACGGTTCTACGGTTGCACACGCTGGTGTCTGCTCGTAAACTTGGAAACCGGGAGGAGGAAAGAGTGTGTCTAAAATTTCACTGAAACCGTAGCGCCCGCCGGGGAATATCTGGCCAATTTTTCGGACACACGCCGTTCGGCCGGAATAATATTTCCAGCCGGATCGATCCGCGGCGCGAAAAAGAGAGAGAGAGAGAGAGAGAAAATGTTCCATCGTGCTCGACACGATGGCTCTCTCGGATTTGCGTGATTACGGCCAGAGTTTGTTTTACCCGGATCATCTTGATATTCTCGACCAAATCTCTTCCTCCATTTTCGAGAGTCACGAGTTCCAAATGTTTGTCTCTCTTTCTCCATCTTCACCGTCACAGAGGAAATGACCGAGTTCGAAAAACGTATCGAGTTTTTCGATGCTTCTTTCCTCTTGAATTTTTGACTTGCCCGCGAGTAGTTTCCAATTGGAGAACGCCTGAAAGGGGGGTGGAAGGTGACGGAAGCGACGAGCGGAGGAGGGCCTGTTGCTCGGCCTTTGTTTTCCACGAACAAATAAACGCGACCCCTGCCGCTCGATACCGCTCGCCGTGAATCGACATTTCGCTAGTTTCCAACCATTGCCGTCGGTACCACCCCCTCCCATCCCCCCCCTCCACCCCCTCGCCGCGCCGTTGACGTTCGATGCCACCCGCTCCGTTCTAAACCCGCGCGACCCGAGCTCGGCTCTGTGCCCGAGCCAACGTTCGTTCTTCGTGCCAAGTCTCATCGTCTGCTTCCGGGTGGGGTTGGGGAGGAAAAAACGGGCCATGGAAAAGAGATTCCAATTTTCCCATATTTCGCCCGGCGCTCTTTCCTCCGGACTAATGAAAACTCGTGGCCTTATTTGATGATAAATGCCGTGACGGTGTGCCCGGTTTTCCACCGGGTGCGCATTGGTGTGTGAGTACGCGATGGTGAGAGGCGGCGTGGTGGCCGACTTGCCATCGATGAATTCGAATCGACAGTGCACACTCGTTCGCAAACCGAACTCGTTCAACTCGCAGTTGAAACGTTATGAGGCTGCGGGGAGAGAATACGGTCGCCTAGATATGGACGCGTGCAAAGTTCTACGTGGATTTTTATTGGAACGTAACTCGGATTAGTCGTGCTCGGAGGGGATTCGTCGTAACGTTTCCACCGACCCTTTTGTCACCGTGGCGAATGGCCATCGTCGTTCGACGTTCGACTCGCGAGACACGAATATCGAGGATCGTTCGAAAATCCTGAACGATCTCCACGTTTCGAAAAGTGAATTCTCATTTTCGTCTGCGTATACACTTAAGTTGGAACTTGACAAATCTGTGAACTAGAAAGAAATTATAAACGATTATAAGCGATATTCATTCATGGTGTAATTCCGTTTGACTCGTTCCTCACAAACGAAATACATATACCGGATTTCAAACAGACTCGTCCACGAGTTCTGGGTAAGTAGAATCGTCGAAAAGGTCTTTTGAAAAATAGGAGCGAGCAAGGGGCCAATCTCCGAGCCAATCTTCGTTCGAGATCGTGGCCGGGATAACTTTTATTCTAATAAATCCCTTTAAAATGCAAAACGCCACTTTCGTTCCGGCTCGCTGATCGCCCAGACAAGGGTGCGGTGAACGAACGAATTAAATGTTTTCCTCTCGGAGCAAAAGACCCGGCGGCTTTTTGTCCAGGAAACCACGTGCCTTTCGTGACCCACCGGGTGTCGTTTTCTCCTTCTCAACGTCGTGCCTTTTGTTTCACCCCAGTTCGAACCAAACGTCTTGCCTTCCTGCC